CTACGTCGTACTGCTCAGCACTACGTCGTACTGCTCAGCACTACGTCGTACTGCTCAGCACTACGTCATACTGTTCAGAACTACGACGTACTGCTCAGCACTACGAAGTGTACCAACTAGTTATAGAAATATGGCTTCTTTTAAGGGATTGACAAGGTGAATTTGGGCCTGGGCCGAAAGTCATGAAGGACTTTCGGCCCAGGCCGAAAAATCACCGGACAGTCGGACCGGGCCGAAAGTCCGGGCCGAAAATTCCTTGGGCCGAAATTCATGTAAACCCATTTTGTTGTTGAATGATTTCGTTTTCTGCACCAATAATTAATAAATCATCAAATGATTTTTACATGAGTATAATAAATATTACACTCAGCAAGAATATGCCGAACTAATATCATTGTAAATCTACAGTAGAATAGACGAGTGATAAAATATTTGTAACGTCACATTAGGAAATAAAGATTTCTTTTTCGATTTCGTCGTTTACGAGCTTCAGCTGACCGCGTTTCACTATGTAACTGACATTTCTTAGTTAAAGATTGTTGTTGTTGTTGTTCATAATCACTGGCATCATCAACCACAGCATGATTGTTGACATTTAAATCATTATCATATAGTGATAATGCTAAATTTGTTCATTATGATTATCTGATATGGCTTCATATAATGCATCATTATCATTTGACGGTAATGTATTATTTAACTCATTATTATCATTTGAAATTTCTTTATATTTAGGCTGTTTATTCATAACTGGTCCAATAAGTTGACTAAGATAAATTTCATTATCATCTGATATTAATTGTAAATCATCATCATTTAAATTAAATAATTTTTGGTGAATTAATACTTTGTTTACTGTTTTTATTTGATGAATTATTTGCTGCAAATGGTAACGATTTAAATGATGTAAATAACTCAATAATATTTGAATTTTTTAACTGGTTAAATGTTCACTTTTCTAAAACTGGTCTGATAAGATACGTTGTGAAAAAACAAACATGTATAGCATACATAATCATCTTTTTTTCTTCGACAAATTGATAATGTTGAATTATTTGACGTTAAACCTGCAGCCCAATTATTAACTGTATTTGATTTGTCAATGAACATGTGTGCAGCATAAACTAAGGCCTTCTGAAGAGCTCATTTTTCACGTGGACGATATGGATTTTGTTCATGATAAACACACATTGATGACGAATAATTTCGTGTGATAACATTATCATAATCAACACCATCAGGATGGCGAAGTTGATGATGATATAGGCGACATGACTCACAATGAGTCAGTGTCCACTCACACCATTCCGCAAAATATAATTATATGACGGTAAGTGATGCTAATGTTGGCCAATTAAATAAATGATAATCTTTTGTTGGATCAAGTTCCTTATCCATATTACCCCATGAGTACAATTTATTTTCAAATCTAAATATTAATATAAAAACTTCTTTAATTTTTACATACGTAGGTGAATTATTAGGTGGAAGATGTTGCAATTCAATTAATATTATTAATAATGGTAGTCGAGGTGGTAGTCTGTATTTGTATTAATTTTAATGACCATTTGATTTTTTTGATTCTGTACCAATAGTAAATTGAGTACATTTTTGTACATGATTGAGCATTAAGTGTATCTCTTCCATTGAACTATATTTGTTCACATGGAACATCTTAGAAATCGCTGTTTGTACGACACGTGGTGGAAATTTTTGTCGTAATTCAACATTTTCTTTTGCTTTGATTGTTGTTCGTGTCCATATTCGTTGTTGATATGATTCATGATCATTTCATGTATCATCATTATGACGTAAATAATGTAGAATGAATATATCTGACATTACAATGACTAAATAAAACAAAATTACATCAGTTGATATAAAATAAGTGAAGAAAAAAAAATAACATAAATAAAGTAAACAAACAAATCATATAATTTATCATTCGTTCAAAGAAATAAACCTATCAAGGTTGTATACATGGATATTATTAGTATATTGATAAAATATATAATATATGTAGGGTTAAAAAATAAATAATATTGTTGGCTGAAAACAGAAACACTTCTGAAAGGGAAAGTTTCCTATTTATAATTTGTCTGTATCTGTAATAATCAATATTTGATAATGTTATCCATATGAAAATGATGGTAATTATTGATAATTAGTGCGCGCATATCAAAATAACAATTTCTTTACACACCGTAATGAAACAATATTGTCCCATGAAAGTTGTTGGGCATGCGTCAATCATAGTCGAGCATAAACCATTATAACATGACAAAACATATACATTAACATTAATTGATCATTAACAAAAATAAACGTTAGTATTTCACATTGTTTTGGAAATAAATATAGGACGAATATCATTGACATGCACTTTTGATTCGACCTGCGTATTTTCATCTTTAACCCAACAAATCAGATGTAGGTTTTTTAATAAGCACTTTGAGTGTAATTGAATATTTTGGATCTAGTTTTGTTTTTGTTCCATGAATTTTAATCGATACTAAATCATTAATTTCATAATGTGGATCTGGATGTTGTTTATAATAAGTAATCTTATATTGTTGTTGTCGATGAATAATATTATCACGTGCGTTTCGTTATATTTTCAACAGATTTTTTTTGATTTGTACATAATAATCATTTGCTTTATTGAAAATAAACGATGTTGAAGGTTCATCAATAGGTAAACGTGGTTCTCGACCAAATTGTAGTTAAAATAGTGAATAATTAGTCGTTGCATGGATGCCTATATTATAAGCAATTACTACTGGTCCTAAGAATTCATGTCAAGAATTACTTTCTCGATCTTGAAGTTTTGCAATTTGAGGAACAAATGTCGCATTGAAACTTTCAATCATCACATTAATTTGGGGGTGATAAAAACTTGAGAAAGTATGATTGTAATCAATTAATTTTGCCATGGGTTCCATAAGTTGATTTTTAAAATGAACACTTTGATCAGATAATATAGTTAATGGTATATCATATTAACAAATATATATTATTAAATAATGTTTGAGCTGTGGTTTGTACTGAACGATCGGGTAAAGCTACTGTTATTACCCATCTTGTTAAATAGTCAGTAATACCTAATATATATTGATTACCACCAGGTATTGGTTTGAACGGACCACAATAATCAATACCTATTAATTGAAATGATCCTTCTAGAGTTGGAATTGGATTGAGTCGACCTGGTTTCTTTGTACAACTAATATTATACTGTTGACAGGGTAAACAGGATTGAATATGTTGAATAATTGATGGTTTCATTTTTGGCCACCAGAATTTATTTTTAATTTTTAAATATGTTCGTTGAACGCTAAAATGACCACTAAGTGAATCACTATGATACAATTGAAGGAAGAAATTAATCATGGATGATGGTAAATAAGTTAATTTTGATTTTGTAGCGGAATTACTACGAAATAAGGCTAACTTGTATAATATGCCGTCTTAAAAAATATAAGAATGTTTTTGTTGAATCTTTCATAATTTCTTAATTTTATTTTGAATAATTTGGTCTTTTGCTTGTTCAATTTTGATTTGAGTTATATAAAAATTACTAGGTGTAATTAAGTGTGATGGAGATTTATTTAAATGTTCAATTTTTTCTTTCCTTGACGACGATGGTATATCATTTATAGTGAGTGGTGTAATTTTGTCATTTTCATTTTGTTGTTGTTTTATTTGTTTTATTTTTGAATGCGTAACGATAACACTAATAACTGAAGGATAATTCGCAGGAGGATGCACCCTCTTTGGTGGTTTTCCATGAAATAACATGCTTATCCCATAATCCTCATAAAATATTTCATCACCATTTTGTATTGTATGAAGAGATAAATAATCAGCTAAACAATTATGTTGATCTTTAATATGAATAAATTTTTCAATATCATATTCTTGCAATAAAATAGAAATTCGATCCACTCGTCAATCTTTTACCGATGAATTCATCATTTTGCATAAGGGACAATGATCAATATAAATTATAATAAATCTTCTGAGTAAATAAGATCGCATTCATTGAAAATATAACCATATGGAGAAAGCTTCCAATTCAATAGGATCATATCGTCGTTGAGCATGAGATGTAACTTGAGCATGAAAATATAAATTTTTGTGTTTCACCATTAATATTTTGTTGTAATATACTACCAACACCAGTTTTTGATGCATCCGTTGTTATTATAACAGGATGGATATGGGTGTGGGTGTAGGGTGGGTATGGATCTTTCCTTAACGCACTCATACCCACAGTCACCTGTACTCACGCCCACACTCCACACGCACATCGTCAGCCTCATACCCAGACCCTCAACCCTACACCTACACCCTCACTCACACCTTATTTGAATATTTGTAGTCTTTTAAAAAGATTTAAAATATTTTTGTTAAAATACTTGTTGCTTTTTCATTCGATGTAAATAATAATGAAGATTTATAACTGAACATTCTGTTATTAAAGAAGTTATCTATTTATGATAATACATGTTGTAATAAGGTCAATGTTTGAATATCCATATCAGGATGTGAACTGTATTTTTCTTTCTCAGTGACAACCAACATACTAGAATTCTGATAATCAACTGAAAATTTCATTCGATATAGAAAATAGAAGATGAACGATTAATATCTGATCTCTTTCATCGGAAGCATAAGACACATTATTTAGATTTTGTCGTTTTCAGCTTTTATCAAATGATCATGGATCGATTATATGCTTCAAAGTGTAACTTTTCTCTGATAGACGCTACTTATTCATATAGATATGAGTAAATTGATCAAATGATATCTATTTGTTTTACAATCTAATCTATTTTACTAATGATTAAATATTCAATATCTCTTGCTATACTTTTATTTTGACAATAACTTGCTCAGATTCCAATTAAAAAAAGCACTCTTAGAACACATAAAAAAAACGAATAATTTATTCAGCAAAACAAACAGAACTAACATTACATTACGAAAAAAGGAGTAATTCACAATGACTTCTCTTTGGTGAAGAGACGAAGAAGATGTAGACGTATGACTAGTATAATATACGCTCACCCAAACATATCATTTTTAAGATATTCATGGAGTTTTATTTAATATTAGCAATGATCAAAGGATTATGATTGGTTCGTGTTCTTTCTAGGCAGATGACTCGTTTTATTCCAAATGAGCGCATAAATTGTTCACGAAATCCACGATTCGATATCATTGATACATAAAAATTGGTCGTGGCAAACAAATAAGAACATAGACGAATAATGTTACCAATTACCAGTTCCCAAGCCTGTCGTGTATTTGATTTAGTCCACTGACTCGTGATGTGGAAATAGAGTACTGCAGCTCCAAAAGGAATATACGCAAGAACGGCAATGAGTGATTGTAGAAACAGCATCCGTGTTATCTGTAAATCGATCCGTTGTAAATGTGAAATATTTGTATTGGGTTCTATTGCACTACAAGTAGCAGGCGCCACACGTCGTTTCAGAACGGCTCGAAAACTTTGTGAAAGCATAAATGCAAGCACGAACACAATAAGAGGCGAACATACACCTGACAAGGATGCTTCAAGATAAGTATCAAAAACATTGTAGATACCTTCTTGAGCTGCACAGTATCCATTTGAATTAGTATAAAATATTAATCGGTGACCAGAGAGCAGGGCCCATATGAGTGCAGATACCGAAATTACTTTATAAGCAAGAGAAGCTCGGTTGCTCCATTGCCGATATGCTTTAACAAAAAGAAAAAAGAATTGAATATATTATCGAGTAATACTGATTATTCATTGAACGTTTGAAATAAATTTTATAATAAACAAAGAGTTGCCTAATGTTTTCTTATGTACACTTTTTTTTGGCTTAATGAGGTTTTGCATTATTATTGCAATACTAACCGAAGCAAGTTAATATTATTGAGAGTATTTGAAGAATGTGAGGACTGGCATGGGTCAACTCAGTGTGACGAAATCTCTGCAACTCAATGTTCTTTGGAAATTATATATAAAATAAGTATGTTTTCTAGTTTCGGCTAATAATGGTGGAAAAATCGGAACAGAATAATACTATACAATATGTCTGGTTGTTTTATCTTCAACTAGTATGCAAATCGGTGGACACATCTAGTATTTGAATGATCGTCTAACCATATTTTTATTATAACTATTTGTACCTACCGATTGAACGTTGTGTTGATAAAAGTCGATCAAGTGTAGCACATATGAAGAGTGTGTTGCCGATTTGAAACATATATTCTGAGATGAACTCTCGAATTTTACAGCCTGCATCATAATAAGAGATAGCAGGAATTCGAAAGCCGGATTGCAATATACGTGTAACAAGTATACAATTCAAAAAAATGAAGTTGGCAACAGATTCCCAAAACAAGTAGATAAAACAAGCTCGTTTTCGAAACATGCGTGATCGAAATACAACCATATTTGCAATACAACTTATATTACCAACAACCAACAAAAAGAAACCACCATAGATAGTTAGTTGATTAGAAATGCTTGAAAGGATAAAGTGGTGGAAAAAAGTTTAGAAACAGCCTTATTTTCTTAATTTC